CTCACCCTTGACCCAGGATTGTCAGCGGTCGACGATCCCTTGCTCATCATCCTCCTCTTTGGAACCCAATGGCGACATGGAAAAATTGCCCCCAGTAAGAGACAGGTCCGGGGTCAAACGGCTGAAGATGCCATGCGCCAGGTGGGCCAGGCCTTTTCCTCATTGGGACTGCTCGATCCAAGGATGAACCAATATGCACCAGGAACAATGGACTTTTGTTGGACACGGCTGCTGAAAAGTTGGAAGAAAGAGGATCCAGCAGCACAACGAGTACGCCCATTGCCAAAGTCCTTGTTAAGGCAAGCATCAAAGCTTGCCAAAAAACCCACAAGTACGCATGCCGCAAAGGCAATCCATTGATTGATGTGGCTGGGATTTTTCTTTTTGTTACGCCCTGACAAATTTCTGTCAAAAGGGGGAACGCAATTTCCTTTCAAGTTGAAGCAAGTGTTTTTTTGTATCAACAACGCAGAATTTCGTGGCGACCTCGTTCCCCTTCGCCTCCTGGACACTTCACTTGTGACATTTGCCGGTCTGATATTTGACAAACAAAAAAATGCGGTGCCAGACAAAAAGATCGGTTTGGGCATGTCATTAAATGGCGACAACCCAACAGCTACGCTGATTGCCATTGTCCGACACCTTCGACAGAGTCAACACACAACTTGCGACACCCCCCTGTTCACCTACTACTCTGAGTTCGGGGTCCCTTGCAATGTCACCCTAATATTTGAGAGCCGTTGCTCTCTCCGTGGAGGTTGATCGACCTCCCACAATCGGTGCTCTTCAATGCACCGGGGCTACCGTGCTTCTGGAAGGCAATATCCCGACTAGTCTCATCAAACTACTTGGTCGGTGGCGCTCTGATGAAGTTTTTTGGTATCTTCACACCCAGTCCGAGCCTTTGATGCAATGCTTGACCGATGTTCTTGTTGATCACGTCGGGCACTAGCGTTTTTTCCCACCCACCACACCCTGGGCGGCAACAAGATGTCCAAAGCGATTGCGAAGGATGAGCAATCGCTGCAGGTCTTGGCTAGCAAAGGACGGACTGATCAGAACGCCCAAGTACATATGCAAAGAAGGTACAGTAGCAGGACAGTGGAAAGCTACGTACCAAAGAGGTTGTGAAAGAAGTTGGTGAATGAGCTGCAGCTCAGTTGCAGCTCGTTCCTTTTGAAAAGACTGCTCTGTATTTGACAGAGTGAATTTGAAGTCTAGGAATAGATAGTTATTAAGATTACCCTAGTCCCACCTCACCCTTGGCTTTGGATTGAGAAGGATGAGCAATCGCGTCGTGTAGCGATAGACTTACTAGGAGGATGTTCAGATTAAAGGAAAGTTGATCGATGTTCATAAAGGGAAATCTAGAAAGTTGTGGTGATGTGTGTGGTCCATCACCGATTCTGTACATTACTGCGTACAGACTATGTGTGAGTATCTAATAGCACGGTGACCTTTATTTGGTCCCCTCAACCTAAGGATCAATGTGATCCATAGGTTGCTCAATAAACCCAAGAACCAAAAAGGTTTTCTCTCCTCATCTGTGTTAATCTCTTTGTAAATGCATCTGCAATATTGATTGCACCATCAATCCATGAAACTGCAATCACCTGGGCTGCCACATTCCAACATGCGTAATGATAAGCAATTGAATTGTGCTTTTTGTTCAACATAGATTCTACCAGCGATGAGTTTTTAACAACCACTTCATTGTCTTGAATTGTGCTTTTTGTTCAATGTAGATTCTACCAGCGATGAGTTTTTTACAACCACTTCAATGTCCACCAATACCTGTGTTGGTTCCTCATCCAGTGGGATCCCAAACATACACAACGTGTAGCACAAGTGCGTAATTGCTTCAATACATGATTTCAGAGCAATGAATTCAGCCCCAAAAGTGCTGACCTCCACTGTATTCTGTCTCCGGCTGTGCCAAAGAATAGGCGCCCCATTGAAGAAGATGACATAGCCGGTATGCAATCTACAAGTCTTCTTGTTTGCTGCATGCCAGGAATCAACGTATGCCAAGCTTCCCACTTGCCTATCTCTTGGTTTTGGCAAGTTCAATGGCAATTGTTCCTCAGCATCTCTGTATAGAGTATGGAACTCTTTGTACGATGACTTTGTTGAAATTGCTCTCTTGGAGACCATTCATTGGAAACTCCTTGATAGAAGCAGTTCGACACGTCCGATCGGACACACGGACAAATGTCCGTTTGGTCCGTTTATTCGGGGGATTCCTATGAGTCGGTTTTGCAGGGAATCTGAAAACATGGAATTGTGGGCTTGGACTAACAAACGTCTGAGCGCCACAAAAATCCCAGACTGAATCCTGCGGGAGTTCTGTACGTGGGTTTTTGTACCGGCCTTTCTGGATTGCAAACATCCAGTAAAGGTTTGGGAAATTTGAGTTTTTGCGCAAGGCTTTTGCTTTGCCCATTCCATGTAGATAACAAGTCTTTTAGAATAGTTATTTCCTGTAGAGATGATTATTTCCTATTAGGCGGATCGGAGATCGCTATGGTCGGTGCCTCTGCATGACGACTTGATGGGTCGCATGTTGGCACGGCTGGTTGGCAATGATGGTTTTATGGGCCACAAAGTTGTCAAATGGGTGTGTACACGGGTGCAGCTCATGTGATGTTCCAGCTGAACATCACGCTTTTGGACGTCTCTCCTACTCTGATCTTCAGAGTTAGGAGCGTGTTGAAATTGCTCTCTTGGAGACCATTCATTGGAAATCCTTGATAGAAGCAGTTCGACACGTCCGATCGGACAGACGGACAAATGTCCGTTTTGGTCCTTTTATTCGGGGGATTCCTATGAGTCCGGTTTTGCAGGGAATCTGAAAACATGGAATTGTGCGCTTGGACTATCAAACGTCTGAGCGCCACAAAAATCCCATACTGAATCCTGCGGGAGTTCGGTACGTGGGTTTTGTACCGGCCTTTTCTGGATTGCAAACATCCAGTAAAGTTTTGGGAAATTTGAGTTTTCGTGCAAGGCTTTTGCTTTGCCCATTCCATGTAGATAACAAGTCTTTTAGAATAGTTATTTCCTGTAGAGATGATTATTTCCTATTAGGCGGATCGGAGATCGCTATGGTCGGTGCCTCTGCATGACGACTTGATGGGTCGCATGTTGGCACGGCTGGTTGGCAATGATGGTTTTATGGGCCACAAAGTTGTCAAATGGGTGTGTACACGGGTGCAGCTCATGTGATGTTCCAGCTGAACATCACGCTTTTGGACGTCTCTCCTACTCTGATCTTCAGAGTTAGGAGCGTGTTGAAATTGCTCTCTTGGAGACCATTCATTGGAAATCCTTGATAGAAGCAGTTCGACACGTCCGATCGGACAGACGGACAAATGTCCGTTTTGGTCCTTTTATTCGGGGGATTCCTATGAGTCCGGTTTTGCAGGGAATCTGAAAACATGGAATTGTGCGCTTGGACTATCAAACGTCTGAGCGCCACAAAAATCCCATACTGAATCCTGCGGGAGTTCGGTACGTGGGTTTTGTACCGGCCTTTTCTGGATTGCAAACATCCAGTAAAGTTTTGGGAAATTTGAGTTTTCGTGCAAGGCTTTTGCTTTGCCCATTCCATGTAGATAACAAGTCTTTTAGAATAGTTATTTCCTGTAGAGATGATTATTTCCTATTAGGCGGATCGGAGATCGCTATGGTCGGTGCCTCTGCATGACGACTTGATGGGTCGCATGTTGGCACGGCTGGTTGGCAATGATGGCTTTATGGGCCACAAAGTTGTCAATCGGTTTGGACGACGACAAGCCTGTCGCTTGTCTAATGTCCGCCAGAACCGAAATCCAACTGACTTGACTCCAGGAAAATCTGCGTTTGGGATTCTCCAATCAAAGTATAGGGTCATCTTTGAGTGTTGATCCAAGTAGGCAAAAATCCACAACAATTGTTCCCTGTGTCCTTCCCTTGGCCCTGCCTGGTATTGACTCAAAAGAGAAACTTCCAGTAGAACATCAACGCGTCCGATCTCCGTGGTTCACCTTGAGACCCCAATCAATTCTTGAAAGTATGTGTGGTCATGTGCATTTAACTCACTTGAACCGTCTAGCTCTGGTGTATAATCGCTATTCATTGGTGTGACAGCTTACTTTGGTAAGTTCCACCTCTGATTGTCTTTCAGGGTTGCTTTGACATTCTTCACAGCAGCTGTAACATAATCATAACTGGACATAGTCCACATGTGCTGACCGTCTAAAACCTTTCTTTTGACACCCGCTCCAAGGTAGCTTTCAGGCTCTTCAATCTTGTCCTTCTTGAACTTGAATTTGTAGCTTATATGTTCCATAACATCTTTAGCGTTTTCAGACATGCACAAGATGTCATCAACATAGCACAAAATATATTCATAGTATTCTTCCCCGTCTGGTTTGATAGCTGCTCACATCCAAACATTGAAATCAGCATATGATGAGTAAAATCCCAAGTTCTCCAATGCTTTTGCAAGGTGGATCCTGAATGATAACGCAGCAGATTTCAAACCATATAATGCTCGCCTAACAATGAATTTTTTTGCCCTCTTTGTCCAAATTCATGGCCCGCAATCATGCAACACTTTTCAAGATTGGGTGCGGTGAGGAAAACATTTTGAATGTCAGCACACTGGACATCCAAACCATTCAATGCTGCAATGGTGAGTAATATTTGCACAGAATCTCAGGCTACCACAGTGCTGTATGTCAGTGCTGCTGGCGCTTCTGTTTTGTGTCCATCAGCGCAATATCGAGCCTTTCGTCAGAAGTTTTCACCAAGTTTGACATCAAACACCATGTGACCAGTGATGCATTTGTATCCAATTAGCTTTTTTTTTATGTCCCCGCCAAATTCTTCAAAGGCAACTCGATTGTTTTTCATTTCCATTTTGATGGCATCTTGCCACAAAGTATCACCATTTTCTCAATCAATTTGAATAGCCTCCTTGACAGATTTTGGGATGCGGATACAGTATTTGTGAGTCCGTTCCCAATAGTTTTTGTTTGACATTGCTTCTAAAATGACCCACCATGCAAATGCTGGTTCATCGTCAATAACCTTTAACTTGGCATAATCTGCAACCTCAAGGGAAAAGGATTGATTCTTTCATGTCTTTTAGTGTTACCCAATTGGATGATCCGTCCTTCCAGATCACATGAAGTTCGCAGCTAGCAGTTGTTTGGCGCTTTTGAGTCCGTCCATTAGGGAGGAGCATTGATCCCGCACTCTTTGTGATTGCCTTAGCATTTTTATGGTGGTCCAAAATCTCCTCCATCAGTTGGTGCTTATGTCCGTGTTCGTTGACCTGTGCAAGCAAATTCTCAGCAGAATATTGGCTGCAAATATTTCAGTACCGCCATCGGCATACTCCACTTCATATTGTCTTCTGTCAAGCAGTTGATTGGAGCTAGCGACGCCAATTGGTCTTCCATTTTCATCCACTATCTGTTGTTTCACCTTTGCCCTTTGGAGTTCGCCTTCTGTGCCTTGCTGTAAACCAATCTTCATGTTGGTAAAATCTTGGGCATCAAGGTCATCTGCAGCTTGTTCAGTCCCCTCAAAGTCGCCATCATGCAGCATCTCTGGGTTGATGAGCATATCAAAGTTGCGCATAAATTTGTCATCCTTGTTATCAAAATCGAACATCATTTGATGAGGAATCTCTTCCTTCCCCCAGTTGATGTATGTAGATTTGGCGTCAACTATCTTGGAGACATCAGCTGCCCAACGTTGCATCTGTTGATTGACAGAATCAGTTTGCTGTTCAGCCTTGGTTACCATTTGGACAGTATCTACAGAAATGGGGATACCGCTCTTTGGGAGAACCCAATATGTCATCATGGGTCCCACACGGTGCGAAACTCCAAGCCATTGTCCAATGTGGTTGACTCCCAAGCCGCCATCGCTGCGAAAGAACACCCAACCATATATTGTGAAATCCAGATATTCAGTGATTTCAACGCGGTAAAACGACCCCAAGCTTGAGTGCGCCGGTGGTTGACAGTTGGATGCGGTAGAAACCATCCAACATGTTGTTCTTGTACATGTAAACTGGCCCATAGTCCGGGTTTGCCTTCATGAGTGCCTCGCGGATGCATAGTGGGGCCGTGCTGAATTGCATAGCTCCCTCTGGGGCAAGTTTCATTGTCTCGTCATTGAGTCCCCAGAACAAATAATCAACAATCATCCGTGGTCTTCTGTTATCTTGTGGTACGCAGCCAATTGGAGAAAGGCAAAGTCCTTTCTCGTCCTTGATGGCGTCATATGGAAGTAGGATCAAAAATCCCTTCCTTCCAAAATCCAAAAACTTCTCCATCAGAAACTCTTTGAATTCGTTTGCTGATGAGTGACAGCCCCAAGCAACTCGCATGTCGAGTTGGCTCTGGCTCCATGGCTCCGAATGAACCACCACAGGAGCCCCATTTTTCATTACTCGGTGTAGCATTGGTGCGGCAGGGTGCGGAAGCTTATCAATGTCTGGTGCAGCATCATAAACGAGCACCGGACTGGTCAGGAGATGGTGCAGCTTGGCAGACATCAGTGTCATCAACAAAACAGAAGCAATCAGCCACGAGCGGAGCCCAAGATATTGACATCAGAAAATCAAAGCCAAAGCCTTTACTAATCATCATCCCTAAGAGAATGGAGCTAATTGCCACCCAGATAGGAGGTCCTGCCCCATTGCCCTGTCCACAGCCTTGGAATGGGATCAGAGTGGGAGGAGTAAAGACACGGTCCAAATCACCAAACCCCGTACGGACCCGGTGTTTTGACTTCATCAGGGTGTCAAACATGGAGCAAAGGGTACAACATTGAATCCCAAAGCGCATCAGGCTAGTGGTAGCCACCCCGTGGACAATGCGGTCAAAGCAGGACTTGGCATCATTGGATATCCACCCCACAGGACGGCGTTGGAGATGTAGAAGGTCCCAAGTGAGCCGCTTAGTAAGAGCCAGATCGATTGCCTGGTGACGCTTGCAAGAACCGTGCTGACCTGTAGGGATCATCAGAGTTCATCATTTGGATCATGCGCATCAGGTCCACCCAAATTTTGCCTGTTTCTTTTCAATCGCAAAATTGAGCAAATGGCACCATTGGGCTGGGACAAATCCTGTCGCGAAAGGGATGGAGCGAAAGATTGTGTCACAGCAAGCAAGCAGGTTTGATTCTGCGCCCGCTTTGTAATGTCCATTATGCAGACCATGTGATTCTGAGCCTTTATGCTCCCCCATCTTACGCCAGAAGCTAACATGATCCTCAAGGTCCACCTCCAGTGGTTGGTCTTCCAAGCCCTCAGGCCGTTGACAATGGTCAATGAATGACGCCAAGTAACGGTCCAATGTCTCAACTTCATAAAGGCCTTGAAGCAATGCTTTGCTGTTCTGCTCTGCGTTGGGGCCGTTGAAGTTGGAGTACAAAGGTTCAGTCGTTGGTGGGGTAGGGTAGGGGTAGCGCGTCTGGTCATACCATAGACAATTCTCTTGCATGCAGCCCTCCTCCAAAAGGCGTTTAGACTGGCATGTTACCCAATGGGAGGAACCATCTTGTGCCACCTGGGCCACTTTAATCTGCTGTAGACCACCAGAAAAACCTTTGCCTTGAGCTTTCCGTCGCCATCGAGTCTCCTCCTTCTGTGCCATCCGTTGGACTTGAGTCCGTTGGCTGCGGGCCTTGATGTTGCCCTTCTTTGCTTCCTGGACCGCTGCTGATTGGATCTCAAGGTACTCCCGGCGCCACTGACGGGCACGTTCCTGGTTGGCCTCTTTGTAGTCCTGATGTTCAAGGTACCACTTTGCCTGTAGGTCAGCTTCCAATAATTTCCATGCGTCACTCAACCCTGTCTTCTTCAGCAAGCGCCAGACCTTCCGTAAACTGGTCCTTACCTTTCTATGTCCCAAGATCAAAAGCTAGTAGAGGTGCAGCCTATCCCATTTCTGCTGCATTTGTGGTGACCAGTGAACTTTACCCATTGACAGTTTCCGGCAGTTGCGCTCCGCTCTGCGACAAATCTTGTAGGCCTGGCGATGGATTGTGTTGAATCTATCTTGTTGATTTGCCGTCAGGTAGCCATCCTGGGCCGAAATATCCTCCGCTAAATGTGTCAATCGTTGAGGAAGGCGAAAGTGATATTAACCTGCTTCAGCAGCTTTAATATAGCGGTCGACCAAACGGCCATCAATGAGAGTGTCTGTCGTCCGACTTTGGGATGTCGCCGGGTAGAGGCCCTGATGTCGGCGTAAGATAGCCTCGGTCAAACCTTCCCTCCTCATCTCTTGGCAGAAGGAGGAGGGAGAGTTGTAGAAGACATCCTCTTTTGTGTCTAACCCCAGTAGAATCTCACATCCTTCCGCTTTCCACTCTTTGATCAGGTCTACCAGACCTAATGTGAGTTTGTCACGGGGATCCATAGTCACCCCCTTGCTCAGCCAGTAATTCCTTTGGTAGTTCCAAACACTGCCCGCATTGGTACCTTCCGTGTTTGGACAATATGCAGAGACCATCACAAGATCTAAAGGACCAGCCGGGGGGCCATCAGTCTGAGGCTCCTGTTGACGGATGTCCCTGCCCTGGATCTTGATCCATGAAAACCTGCCTAGCCCTGACTCATCTTTGCCGCCTGACTTTGCCCAACACGCGACCTTGTTGGGTAATGTAGCAGAACATCCGCCCCATTGATGCGCCGAGGGAGTTGGAAACTCCTGGTGTTTGTGGTACGACATTGAAGAGAAATGTCCCTGATTGGTGTAGGACTTGACCCAATCAAACCCCTTCTATCCTCTTGGCACTGCTGACCATCGAAGGTTAACTTTGGCCAGCAATGCAATGCCCACTCTCTCATCCGTCCAACACTTGAAGAGCCCTTTCTGTTTCTCATTTGACATGGGGAATGGAATTTTTTTGAGCATTTTGGAAAAGGACCCGGGTAACTTGAGGAGGCTTCTGGCGTGAATCATCGCCAAAGTAGTTACCGGGAGGGAGAGAATTTAAAAAAGCATCCAGCGAGGTGGGCCACCTGGCTGGATGTGTTTTGGTTGCGTACCTTGGCCTTCCGTCAAACGCCGCAACCTTGCATGACGGGATCGTTGGTGGTTAGGGACCACCGCCGGGGGGCACTGTCAGCCAATGATGTTGCTTTGCTGGAGGAGGGGCTTGACGAACGGTGGTTCCCTGTGGCTGATGCTGGTTCTGCCATTCTGGCCTCCAATTCCAACATGCGAGCATCCTTGGCAGCCTCTGCATCCTTGGCTTGAGCCAGTTCTTCCGCCGCAGTCTCTAATTCCTTGCAAAGGTCATTGACACCCGCTTTCATACTCTCCAATAGTGCTGCCATATTGACCGCGCTTCCTACTGTAGCGCCGTCATCCATATCCTTGGCAGCTGACATTGAAAGGTCAATGGTGATGGTGCCCTTGAACCCCGGAGAAGCCTGCTCAGCCGCAAGGAGTTTCTCAATCCATTCATTATCGTCCTTTTCCACTTGCTGGTCCAAATCTACGTCCCTCTCATACTCAGAGAGTGCCAGATGTTGGCTTTGATCCCAGGTCATAGCATTGGTAACTGTTTGGTTGTAGTGATCCAAGCAGAGCCAAGTGCGGCACGTCTTCCGCTGGTGCTTCAGATCCTGCCAGAGCTCCAGGTGAGAGATAAGGAAGGCAGCCAGGTTCTTGAGAACCTCCTGTGCAAATGAGGCAAACTTTTGGCACACCACAAACACGGTAGAAACCATCAATCGGACCTGGTAGAATCATTTGGAAGAGACCAGCTGGGCCCTGATTCAGTTCAACATCCATTGCTGCAAGCCATGCACTTTGATCGAACGCCTCAGTGGTGGGGGCCTGTTCAGATGCGGAAAGTTTTGCCCGAGCTGAAGACTTGGTAGGAGGGTTGGTTGCTGACTGTGGGGTAGAAGACTTTGGTCCAGTGGAAGACGGTTTGGGGTGTGTGTGAGGAGTTGGCGTAGGTTTCGCTGTTGGTTGGTTGGTTGGTTGGTTGGTTGGTTGGACTGGTTTTTCTTGGACTCCTTGCAACATGAACGCTTGGTGGATAGGGTAGGTTGCGGTGGCTGAACTGTTGTTGGAGGAGCAGTCCCACTCTGGTTGGTTGGTGTCGATCCTTGGGACGCCGGAGGAACGGCTGGTGGCAGCGGGGGAGCATCAGGAGAGTGTGCATCCGGTTGGGCTAGTTGGTCTGGCTGGTCACATGGAGGGTACTTGATCGCTGGGATCCACTGAATAGCACACAGGAATTGAAGTAGGGACTTGCCCTTCCACTACTTGCAGTACTTTGGGATGCACACCTTAGTCAACATGCCTTGGATAGGGAACAGCGGGGCCAGGGAGGTACAGGTCTGGGAGGTGGTGTCGTGGGTGTTGATGAGTTTGCCAATGATGCCATTCCACTGCCCCCTGGTTGCACAAGATCGCCAAGTTGCTCTTTTGTAATTGCCCCGCAATCGGAGACAAACTGAGTCGAAGCTCCAAATGGCACGTGACATTTCTTTGTTTCTGGTCGGAGCCATGCAAACAGGGCCCATGCCACTCTATCCACTTCAGACGCCGCTACCCAAATGTGCCACGCTTTTGGCCCCTTGGAGGACATCCATTTTTGACCAGCAGTACCTCTCTGACGTGTCTCCCCAGAGCAACGGAAGCTGGAGGAAATTTTTCTGACACCTTGGAACGGTACATTGGCATGGCTTGATCATATGACATAGTCATGGGAATAACATGCATGTTAGCTTCAATTGCCGCTTATGTCTGTGACAAGAAGTCAGCTTTGATTTGTTGTTGGAAGGATTGTAGCTTCATAACATCAGTATACATTACACGTCCATATTTGCGATGCATGGTTGCATAGGCATTACTTAATATATTGAGCGTCAGTTTGTCCTTGGAAATTCCCAGTGTCAGGGATTTGACATAAAATCATGGCATCATAGATTGTAAAAACAGTGGCGGCCATTTTGCCTATAAAAGTGATTCCTTAGTTAGTACGTTCGTATTGGTGTTGCATTCTTTACACCTTTGACAGTTTTACATGGTCAAAACCGGTGATGTAGCACCATTGACACAATCCAAATCGGCTTTGCACATATTAAAAAATATTGCAGTATTTGTATTCATAATTTGTTCATTTGAATGCATTTCATCGAATAGCTTTTTCTTTCATACCTATTGGGTTGTGATAAACAATGTAAAATACGTCGTGTAGCGATAGACTTACAGGGAGGATGATAAAAGTAAAGTAAAATTGATAGACGTTCGTAAAAGGAAATCTAGAAAGTTGTGATGATGTGTGTGGTCCATCACCAATTCTGTACATTACTGCGTACAGACTATGCGTGCGTATCTAATAGCACGGTGACCTTTATTTGCAGGTAAGCCGTAGTTCTGATCCTTCACACGGATCCATAGACGTCTCTAACAGTCCATTCAGCTGTTCCACTTCCCACAACCTCACACAATCCTTGGAGGCCATTGATAGATTTTAGTGGGCTAGGGCCGACTTTAGAGATGAAATCTGACTGGTGAGGTGTAATTGAGACAGATGCTCCGGTATCGATGACCATCGGAGTCTTAGAGTTGTCGGAGAGGTAGACCGGCTGATGGTGGAGAGTGTCAGGCAACCATGGAATATGACAATCAATCTGAGAGATAGCGGAGTTGGCAGCTCGAGACAAGGTTGCAGCATTCAACTTAGCTGCCTTGAGGGACGTTTTGACTTCTGTTTCTTCGGACTTGGTGTGCAGCAACCATAGAGGATTTCACAGGGCTGCTATTTGATGGTATTGCTTGAGAGGATTGACACTTTGAACAAAGTGGTTGAGGTCAACTCCATACTGGGCGTCAATCTGGATGAAGCTTAAGTGAAGGAAACGATGCTTGTTCCTTGTGTTGGCTTCGAGGATCTCTTCATCTGAAGGTGAGTTCCAATTATGGGGAACACTTGTGACTTGCTTTTTGGCTTGCTTATGTTGCTTTTTTCTTTGCGTTTCTTTTGTTCTTGCCGTCTTCCGATAGAACTCTACTCTTTGAGGCTTGACTTGACGACATAAGGCTTTGAGGATGAGGTGATAATGAGGTGGGTTGCGCTTTCGAGACTTGGGCTTGAAACAGCGCCAAGGAAAGGCACATCCGAGAAGTTCTAGCGCATTGAAGGGAGGAGTTGGCACTAGCAAAGGCAGAAATGGTTGTCTGCATGAAGGCTTAGTTTGATGATCAAGTCGCTACTGGAGGAGAGGATGGAGAAACTACTGAGGGCATTGCTGCATTTCAGATGAGGACAAAACTGGCGAGGACAAGCAGTTTCAAGAGGTATAAAAAGTCAACTAGACCTTAAAGAGGAGACCTCATCCATACTCCCTTGCAGCAAGGGCCACCACATGGTGACGGAAGGGTAGGATGCGATGACGGTAGAGAGGAAGACTACAATCATCCGTAGGAGTCAAGTGGCATGGTTCACTTGATCAATGCAATAGACTTACTAGGAGGATGTTAAGATTAAAGGAAAGTTGATTCACGTTCGTAAAAGGAAATCTAGAAACCTGTGGTGATGTGTGTGGTCCATCATTGATCCTGTACGTTACTGCGTACAGACTATGCATGCGTATCTAATAGCACAGTGACCTTTATTTGTCATCATGGGGCCATCCAAAAAGAACAACAAGAAGTGTTACAGCTGTGGCAGGGAGGTAGAGCGGGAGGCGTCTCCACCAACCAGCAGTCCAGTGAGACAGCAGACCCCACCAAGGCCACGGCCAAACAACAATCCACCCTTGAGTGCTCTTGAGGAGCTCTCGTTCTTCATTGGTATCAGAGTTGGACGGGGAGTAATTCCCGGACATGGCGGCTCTGAGCTTGATCTTGTTCTTTTGTTGTCTTTGTTTTGCTCTTGGTTGCATTGATCCGGAGTGTGGCGGCAGTATTTCTTGAGAGTTTTGCACCAATATCAGGGCTTGGAGTCACCGTTGACATACTTTGCTTTAAGTTTGTCTTCTGCTTTTGGCGCAGTGGTCTTCCATGCAGATACATTTGAAGATTTTTGCTTACTGTTGTTCTTGCCTGTGCCTTCATGCTTACCACCTCCGGACTTCTTGTCATTGTCTTTCTTCTTTCCGCTTTCAGACCTCTTGGAGTTTTCGATTTGCTTGAACTCGGCCTTCAGCAAGAGGATAGCTTGTTGATTTTCATCGGGGCAATTCCAGGTTTGATCATGAACACAATTCTTGTAATAGTTTTTGGCGTCCTGCATGAGTCTGGCTTCATTGATGGGCTTGGAGTTGTCCTCATGTTTTTCTTCTTTTCTCCCAATGTATGACACAAATGACTTATTAGATGCTGCCTTGTACCCTTCAAACAGGTGGATCAGTACATCCTTGGACTCCTCCCCATAGTGGGCAAGGTTCTCAAATTGCTCAGAAACGTAAAGATTGAACTTTTCAATGTTTGATCCAACCTTGGTCATGTATTTGGGAAGTTTTGCAAGTTGATGTTGGATGTGATTCACATTGGAGTTGCTAGCGGGAGTTGTCCTCAGAAGGACCACCTTCAGATACGCCAATCCGCCTCTTGTTCCATTAATGGTGAAGAGATTTTTGTCCTGTAAGACTTTAGCTTGGGCAGATTCCGTGAGCGGCTTGTAGATGCAGAGCTGCAAGTGGAGAGAGCTTTGCTTGCTGCGACTGTCAGCTTGAACAAGGTAGGCTTGCTCATGGCGTCAAACATCTTTGATAGAGATTCGTCCATGGAGTTGCAGGAAGTCGTCAGTGGCGTTGTTTCTTGCAGAGTTTTGAACCTGGAAGGTGATGGTCCATCCCGCCTCAACGGATCTAGTTTGGATTCTCTTGATAAAATTTAGTAGTCTTGCTGGCTACAAATCAAACTTGTGTTCACCACTAGAGTAGAGCAAATTGACTGCCTTTGAGTACTGTTTGATGCTGTAGGAAGTTCCAATGTTGATAGGAGTAGTTTCTGGAACACCCGGCAGAACGATGATTTTTGTCATTGTTCGAAGAGCGGACAGACCTTCTTCAGTCATTTTTGAAATCCATGTGATCACATGGGATAAGAAGAATAACTCATACTTAAGAGCAAAAGCTAATGATGACCAATTATGATTGGTTCAGACAGAAACAATGAGAAGCAACCAAAGCGATGAGAAGCGACCACAACGCAATCAGAAGTGAGCAAAATATCGTTCCGAATGGAAATTACTCGTTCCGAATGGAAATTACTCGTTCCGAATGGAAATTACTCGTTCCGAATGGAAATTACTCGTTCCGAATGGAAATTACTCGTTTCCCAAAGCAATGAGAAGCGACCAAAACGATGAGAAGCGACCAAAAGTGAGTAATTTTTTGGGGGGCTGATCTTGGGGGGCATTTTTTCACAGCTGGGACTTTGGCAAGACCATCCTGCCTTGGCTAAACAGGCTCGCTCAAAACAAATAATACCGGTAATCATCAACGACACAAAAGACAAAATGAAGTTTTCTTCTCTGTCAAACACCTTCCTCTTGTCACCAGAGCATTGGGGTTTCTTGCAGGTGTTCTCGGAATTCCCCAGCCAAAGCAATCTTCCAGGAAAGAGTGAGGCCATACTGGTCTTTCTTGAAACTGGTGTTATCTTCAGGCTTGTTATCGATGCCACTCTTCTTGCTGTCAACAATAAAGTCCGACTTGGGGGAGAAGATTCTATTCGCAAACACTGGTTTTTCCATTGAAAACACGATGATCGAGTAATTGAAAAATAGGTCCAAGTCTCTTTCAGCATTCACTGCCTCTGCCTTCAGGGCATTGACAACAGTCTTTTTTGCTCCGGGATTATCGGACTTAGCAATACCAAACTTCTGGTACTGACGTGCAGTGAAGTTGGCTACTGGCTCTCGAAACAAAAGAATATGACCGAGATGCTTTTGAAAGCAAGCTGGCACCTCAAAAGAATTTGCGATTTTGAGTTCATAGAACTTGTAGTCATCTGGGGGGCATGGGCAGTTCACAGTGATGGTTTGATACTCAATATGGTCTTGTTCGATCAGACCTTGGCAAATGAAAGTGTTTCCGTGGCGGTGGCCATGTTCTGGAAAATTATAGATGACGTTTGGCCATTTCTTGGAACCATCTTGGTGATAGTCGGGAAGAGGGTAGCTGGGCCTGGTTCTTGTTGGTGGGGAACCAAAGCCACAAGGAGAGGAGAAACTATGAGATCCATAGCTTGTGGCTCCAAAGATTTGACTTGGTGAGCCAATAGAGGAGTTTGCAGAAATGTTCATCCCTGAAAGATTAGAAACAAGGAGGTCAAAAGAGGAGTTGAGTGCAGTTGCTTGTTCTGGAATTGTCAAAGACACTGCAGTACGCTGTTCAGGAGCTGGCAATTGTTGGTTTGTCCTCCTTGGTCTCCTCCGTCTCCATCCTGTCGTCTGCGTCAACAGGGTTTTCCTTGTTTGATTTGAGTTCAGCACAAGTTGTATCCGACATCTCGATCTTGTGTTTCTTTAGCAATTTGATGTAGGTTTCAATACCCACCCGTTTCACAGTGTTGTTGATGACCCAACTGTAGTGCTTTCTTGTGATGCTTCCTTTTTCACCAAATATTGTCTTGTTTGTATTCCGTAGTTGAATAGGCACAAAATTCCAACGATCTAGATTGTGTTCCTCAATGCTTTGAAGCTGATAATGAATTTCCCAATCTGCAAGTTTCTTACCTGCTCCTTCCTCAAGAGAAGTTACGGCGGTGGCGGAGATTGGTGGCATGGTAGATGGTTTTAAAAGCGATTTGTTGGAATCTTCCTTTTCGATTTTGTGAGCATTGTTGTTGACACTCACAATCTCCTCTCCAACCCTTTCTGGTATTGCTGATCACATCTCAAGCCAAGACTTGATTGGCGATAAAGCATCACTGATGAAGATCATGGGGGGTAGGACTGAGCAGAGCGGGGGATATTTTTGTGGGACTTCCAGAAACGATGAGAAGCCACCAAAACGATGAGAAGCCACCAAAACGAGAAATAACTCACATCGCAAAGCGAGTAATTTTTATTCGGAACGAGTAATTTTTATTTGGAACGAGTACTTTTTAAGAAGTATTGAGTCGCGACCTAAAAGCAGTTTTTCCATCATTATGTCAGGTGAGCCTTTAAATGAATTATTACGGACTAAGAATTTTTAAAAAATGTCCCTTTTGGTTCTAAACTATTTATGAACGACAAGATGTTCTTATATATGAGAAATGTCCTCTTCGTTTATTAGTCATCTTGCGAGAAGGAACCAAGAGGAATTCTAAAGTCATCGTTTTGCCAGGTGTTCCTGAAGTTGATGGAAAAGCTCCATACTGAGAAGTATGGGTAGTCAGATTGGTCGCATTCGGATTGGTCGCATTTGCAATGAGCTGACCTTGTAGATTCATTCCTTGCGGATGAGCCAATAGCTGCCCTAGTAGATGTGCAGCATTGTTGGTTCTGCCTTGCGGTTGACCTGCTGATGCTGACCTTGTTGTTGACCTTGTTGATTGAATGGGTTTGCCGTGACGGCTGCTGCTGCGATTAGGTTGTTTAGGAGATCGGGAACCGGAGGGTTGGCCTGTTGTCCGCCTTGTTGATTGGCTTGCGCGGTTTCATCAGCATTGCCTGCTGGCGCAGGTTATTGTTGGTTTTCCTCCACAACTTCTGGGTCTGGGTCGTTGCATCCCTGAGGAGGAGGATTGTCAGCCATGTTTTGAACTTGGTTGTTTCTTTGACGGCGACGAGGGATGTACGGATCTTGATTCAGTGGGCCGTTTTGAGTACTTTGTACCATGCAATGGGCCCTTTAGATTTGCAGAGGGAGCGTGTTAAAATCCTGAGATGGCTCCACAGGAGCAAGGCCTCTGGATTGGGCTTTGAGTCAATAAAGGTAGTTAATACGGTGTCGGTCTATAAAGAATCAAATTAATAAATTGTGAGATTATTAATACTTGGTACTACTTGGAAAGAGTTGCTGCATCGAATCTCTAAGAAAGCTAATGAAATTTGAAGAGAGCTAGAGCATCAATTTTCAGTCATGACTAGAGTGACAGCTACAGTAGCGGAATAGTACAGGCGTCTGTGCGTCAATACGTCTACTGAGAGCCCAATTGTTCCAACACAAAGGGTCTCCATTAGACTCTGAACATGTAAATGTAATTGTTATGTTATTACGAGGGTGTTGACTTACAAAGTAGTAGATGTTAAAGATAGTAACGTAGATCAAATCGTATTCTTAAAAAGAGTGTGGTTATCGTCGTTTCATCGACAGGCTTCCGCAAAGGCCGATCCTGTTCACTTATGGACACAAACCATTGCATGCGTTTGCAATAGCACGGTAGCCTTCATTTGGTCCCCTCAAATTGGGTTCCAACTTTGGGACCCAGTTCGATAACTTGTCTAGTACGTCCATTCCCCAAATAGTCGCCCTCTCCTTTCTAGTGTCAATCGCTTCGTGAAGGCATCAGCGAGGTTCAACATTCCTGCAATCCATGATACGTCGACAACTCCTGCAGCCACATTCCACCTGGTGTAATGATACGCAGTCAAATTATGCTTCTTGTTCAAAGTGGATTCAACCATTGTTGAATTCGTCACCACGCTCTCGTTGTCGCAAAATACGTGCGATGGTCCTTCTTCCAAAGGTATTCCGAACATCCTCAATTTGAACCTCAAATGAGTGATCGCGTCAATACATGACTTCAAAGCAATGAATTTGGAACCAAAAGTACTCGCTTCTACCGTATTCTGTCGCTTGCTGTGCCATAGGATAGGTGCCCAATTGAGGAAAATTATGTACCCCGTATGTGATTTCCGCGTTTTCTTATTGGCGCCATGTGAAGCATCTACCCAGGCAGTACTTCCTACACTTCGTCCCCTTGGTTTGGGTGTGTTGTGTGGCATCTCTTCCGTCGCATCTCGGTAGTATGCCTCGAAATCTTCCCTGGAGGATCTCAACTTGGAATAGTCTACGTTTGGCGTCCTCCAGTCGTAATAAAGGGTCAATTTTGGGAAGGTGTCCAAGAAAGCAAATATCCTCAATGCTTGTTCCATGTGTCCTTCCCTTGGAGCTGCTTGATACTGACTCAGGAGTGACACTTCCAGTAAGATATTGACTTGTCCAATCTCTGTCGCCCATCGTAATATCCCAATCAACTCTTGGAAGTAGGTATGGTCTTCTCGTCCTAATTGGCTTGATCCATCCATCTCCAGTTCATAGGCACTAGTCATCAGCGTCGGCGCATTCTTGGGCACTTTCCATTTTGGGCTGTCCTTTAATGTTTCCTTGACGTTTTTGACTGCTGCCATGACGTAGTCATAACTTGACATCGTCCACATGTTGTGTCCATCCAAAGTCTTCTTTCGTAACCTAGCTCCCAGGTAGCTTTCTGGAGGTTCAATCTTCCCTTTCTTGAACTTGAATACCCTTCCAATTCCTTCCATCACTTCTTTGGCTTTCATCAACATACATAGGATGTCGTCAACGTAGCAAAGGATGTATTTGTAGTATTCCTCGCCGTCAGGTTTCACCGCCGCTTGCATCCAAACGTCTGGGTCGGCAGTTGTCGAGCTGAAGCCCAAATCCTCCAAAGTCTCCGCCAGGTGTGATCTGAATGCTGCGGATGAACTTTTTAAGCCATATAATGCTCTTCTTACAATAAATACTTTGCCTTCTTCTTCACCAAACTCGGGTCCTGCTACCAGGTAGCACTTTTTGATTGCTGGTGCAGTGAGGAATGCGTTTTGAATATCCTCGCATTGCAAGTCTAATCCGTTTAGCGCTGTTATCATTAGTAGTATCCGAACTGAATCGCGGGACACTACTGTACTGTAGGTCAATGCTGCGGGTACTTCAGTCTTGTGTCCATCAGCGCAGTACCTTGCTTTCCTTTGGAAGTTTTCCCCTAGTTTCACGTCAAATACTAGGTGTCCCATGATCTTTTTGTATCCCATCAGCTTCTCTACGTCTCCATCAAATTCTTCAAAAGCGACTCGATTGTTTTTCATTTCCATTTGAATTGAGTCTTGCCATAGCGTGTCCCCATTTGCTTTGTCGGTTTCGATGGCCTCTTTGATCGATTTTGGGATACGTATTCCGTACTTGTGCGTACGTTCCCAGTATTTCGATTTTACTTTGCCAAGGAATCGCTTTCGCTTTCAAACAATGTGTGGGATCCACCATGCAAAAGCGGGTTCGTCTTGGATGCCCTTGCTTATTGCGTAATCAGCCACTTCAATTGGGAAAGACTCCTTCATATCTTTCAGAGGTATCCAATTTGAGGAACTATCTTTCCAAGTAACGTAGAAGTCCCACCCTGCTGCCGTGTGTCGTCTTCGTTGTGCTCCACTTGCGAGGGGATAAAAGGCATCTTTTCATCTTTACTGCCTCCTCATCAGAACAATGTTCCGTGATCTCTTCCTTAGTAAGTGTCTGTGTCCATGTTCGTCCACTTGTGCCAATAAGTTCTCTGCTAGCAAGTTCGCAGCGAGCACTTTGGTGCTTCCATCTTCGTATTCAACTTTGTACTGTCTTGTGTCAAGTAACTGGTTGTTGTTTGCTACACCCATTGGGTTTCCTTCTGCATCAACAAGTCTCCTGTGTACAACTGCAGGTTGCAACTCCCCTTCTTGTCCCCGTCTTAGGCCAGTCTCCATGTTGACGTAGTTCTGTGCATTGATGTCGTCAGTCTCTGTGGTCCCCTGGAGCGTACCATTGTCAACATCGTCGGCCTTGATCAACTTGTTGAAGTTGCATTTGAATTCTTTGTCTTCCAATTCAAGGTCAAACATCAATTGTGGCGGTATCTCATCTTTCCCCCAACTGATGTCTCCTGTCCTTGCATCAAGGATTTTGGATACATCAGTTGTCCATTGCGCCATTTGTTCTTTGACCACGTCGGTCTGTTTCTCTGTTTCTGTGATGTTCTGGACTGTGTCAGTCGAGATTGGGCGGCCACTCTTTGGTAATATCCAATACGTCATCATTGGACCCGTTCTTTGTGACACTCCCAACCATCGTCCTATTTTGTTTGTCCCCAGGGCGCCGTCCGTTTGGTAGTATACCCATCCATAAATCGTAAAGTCCATGTATTCTGTAATGTCCGGCGTGATGCCGGTTATCACTTCAAGTGGTACTCGTCCGTCAGAATATCTTGAGTAGCTGGCGGTGATGTTCATGATATATCAACCACAGAATCGATCACAAAGTCCCATAGCCGTTCTGGTATCGTATGCTTGACTATCAATCTGTAGAATCGTCGCTTGAGCTCTCTGTTCCCCCTTTTCTTCCGGTCAGTATGGTCTGGATATGTGATAGTTAATCGTGGCTCTGTTGATCGTTTCCATAAAGCTCGTGCTGCGTCCCACTTGTACTGCTGCTCCGTCCATTGTGAGGTGCTCTGGTATACCGTAGTCAGCTATGAATTTCTTGAGGGTCTGCCCAACTTGCTTGTCGTCCACTTTTGAGAGGTGATGGCAACTGTAGAAACCGCTCTTGTGGAAATAGATCTGGCTTGCGATATTGCCTTGTATCGACTTGTGGTTGAAATAGGCTGTGTCGGTTGAGAACTTGCCTTTCAGTCTTGGTCTTAGGAACATGCGGTCTGCTCGGTACCTCCTTGCCAGTGGTAGTATGGCGGATCGTGGTCCCCTTTGTAGTGTTGATCTCAAGGTGGCGCGTGCTCTGTGCAAACCAATTCCTAGTCGTTCAGATAGGTTTTCTGCCGTTACTTTGGTGTGTCGTTCCGTGGATACAAAGGACGGCCTCACAGGTACATCTGCAAATCGTGCATCATCGTCCATTCGTCCAACTTGTTGGAAGAATCTCTCCCCATTGACTATTGTCTGCTGTACCATGCGCCATTCGTTCATTCCTTGCATGATTGGATCCAATTGTCTCAATTCAGCTTCGTTGGATTTTGGGTCATCTCTTGGGTCTTCGTGGACAATTGAGACTTTCCCAACTTGTACGGTACCTGGGTTCCAAGGCACTTTGCTCGTCATATCAATATTATTATTATTGGTGTTGGTTGTTGCACTGGTCGCTGGGATGCGGCTGTGTTGGATGAGATCACCCTTGCAATTTGTCTGATCTCACTTATCGCGTTTCAGGTTCTACCGCTTGCCTGTTGGTTGTTTGCCTGTTGGTTGCGTCCGCCCATTGCTGTACTTCCAGTCGTTCCCATAGTCACTTGTGATATCTGCGTGGCTGCTTCGGCTGGGATGGTAGCAGGTACGTTGTTGGATCTAATCGATGCTACTTCGGCTTGCAATTCCGCCAGCTGCGTTTCCACTTGTTGCGTTTGTGCGGCTTGTCCTGTTGCCCTTCTTGCTGGTAATCCTTGACTTTCTCTGTATGCGGCTCTTTCCTTCGCCATACGCTCGCGTTGCTTGTTGGTAAACGCTTGCAGGTGTGTCCGAGAGAAACGGTAGCTAGGATGGTACCAGATCTTCTCTCCATTACTCAGAGTAATTTCTTCTTCGTCGCGACGTTTGTTGCCTCCTCCATCGTTTTGGCTTCTGCTTCTGTCGCAATCGTTGTCAGCCCTAGTTTTGCCCAAGTATCGTCCCCTATTGGTTGCATTGCTGGTTCCCTGGGGAAACTTTCTCTCACTGCAGTTCAGTAGATTCGCAATGCTGTCGTGAAAGTCATCAACATTGGTCTTTTGCCAATTTCCGTATTGATTGCCGTCTTGTTCAGTTGTAGGAATGGTGCTGTAACCTTGTTTTGTAGGCTACGCAGTTTCATTGCGTCTGAATGGACTTCTGTCCCCTCATGTTTGTCGCATGTTGCATACACTTTCTTTAACATTCGTTCAAACATGGACCAGTTCAATTTTGGTTTTTTGCCAACGTAACACAGTTCTTTGATGGTGTGTTCAGCTTTGACAATGTCGCTGGCTAGTATTCCTTCGCCTTTGTAGTGGGTACGTAGTGCGTTGAATGCTTCTCTTCCATTGCCTGCAATGTTGATGGCTTGGAGAGTCGCTTCAGCTTCGGTATTCCCCACGATAAACTTGCTGAGAAGGACTAGGACTTTGGCGTTATCCATGACATATGCTTCGCCAACGTGTGGTGCCATGTTGACGTAGGTTTCCAAGAAATCTCCATGCAGGGTGAGCATTCCTGTATTGTTCATCCTCACAATGTAGCTTAGTGGCACACCGTCTCTTCCTGGTATGGTGCAAAGGTAATTTTCGAACGTTGGGCACCAATCTTCCCATTGGTTGGACATCGTTGGTGAAATCTTGTGGTAGTGCTTGTTGCGACATCAAATTGGAGCCATACACGTATTGTTTGTGTGTTTTCATGCGTCTGAGCAGTTTGGCTGCATCAACGACGGGGAATGGCGTTGTGGTAGGGTCTTGTCCCATGCAAATCTCGTCTCTGCACCATTAGATGAATGCGCGGATATTCTTTTTGATACTAGCTGGCATCAAGCGTATCTGTCCTTGCGCAATCGTCAATCCTGCAAGGGTCTTGAATTCTTTGTTTGGTTTGTCAATGGTGCTGTCCATGGTCATGGTGAAATCGTCCGAGAATATTTTGTAAGCAATTCTCTCGGCTTGTGTGCGTCCTTGGAAGAGGGTGACATTGTCAATGCCACAGATGACCATGTCGTCGTGTACAGTGAAGAAAGGAGGAACGCGGCCATGTTGCCTGTATCAATGTCATACATCAAGTTGTTAGTTCACATTTCTTTTCATTTGTAACAGTTTTTGTTGTGTTGTTCAGCACAATTCGAACAGTTTTTGTTGGTGTTGTTCAGCACGATTCGTGGCAGTTTTTGTTGGTGTTGCTCAGCACCATTCGTGGCAGTTTTCGTTGGTGTTGCTCAGCACCATCATTCGTGACAGTTTTCGTTGGTGTTGCTCAGCACCGTTCATCATAATGTTCATAACATTTGATGTCATTTTGTATTTGTGATCATGTTCATTATCACATTCATAACGTTTGATGGCATTGCATTTTGATACATTTCGATACATTTCAATACATTTCAAACGTATTCATTTTTGTTTCCTTTGTCCGATAACTTTTGGCAGTTATTGCTGGATCTGATAAACCATATAAATGTAATCGTTATGTTATTACAAGGGTGTTGACTTACAAAGTAGTAGATGTTAAAGATAGTAATGTAGATCGAATTGTATTCTTAAAAAGAGTGTGGTTATCGTCCTTTCATCGACAGGCTTCCGCAAAGGCCGATCCCGTTCACTTACGGACACGAACCATTGCATGCGTGAGCAATAGCACGGTAGCCTTCATTTGTGAACACAAACGGCCAAAACACTGCAGGTGTTGGCTAGCGAAGGACGGACGGATCGGAACGCCCAAGTATGTATGCAAAGAAGGTACAGTAGCAGGACAGTGGAAAGCTACGTACCAAAGAGTTATGAAAGATGTTGGTGAATGAGCTGCAGCTCAGTTGCAGCTCATTCCTTTTGAAAAGACTGCTCTGTATTTGACAGAGTGAATTTGAAGTCTAGGAATAGATAGTTATTAAGATTAGGAAAGCACACGGCTCTTCTACCTGTAACACTCATCATCATGACCATTACGGACTTCACCGTGCGCAAAAAGAGCTACCGCTACCTCACCACCCAGGTGAGCTACCCAAACCATGATTCCAAGGCGGTCCTTGATGCCTTTGATCCCACCAAGGACCTTCAGTTGCAAGATCTAAACAGCCTTGTCGAAATGGGTGTACAAGGAGGCGCCCCGGCCTGGTACACGGGATGGCCCAAGGAACAGGTGAACAACTTTAATTTTTGGCATCGCCCAATGATTAGGTACACAATGGTTGGCGAAAAGAAAGAGCAGCATTTTGATAAATTGTACGTTCTGGACCATGACGTTCTGGAGAACGGGAGCGACCCACTGGCATTCTCTTGGCCAGCAAAGGCCTTCTCAAAAACCGATCCGGTTAAGGTTCCAAAGTTGGAGGCGTGGTTGATAAACGAAGAGCTCAAGCAGGATTGCTCCAAGTTGTTCGTGATGGAGGATATCACCGACGAAGATCCTGAGACGGCTCACGGCCTACTGGTTACACGCAAGCGAATGCCCATTCCCAAGGAGTTCTTGGATATCACTTGGGACGGATCGTCGGCACGCAAAGTCTTGCAATTGGTGATTGACAGAATCAAGATTCTCGCCAACAGCGAGGAGCCTGAAAAAATTTTGGAAGTGCAGGAGAAGTTCCGGCACTTCGTGGACCATTGGCGCATGGCGAACACGGTCATTGGGAGAGATCAGCTTTCGAAGAATGTCGGAGAATCTGCTGTTCTCACTGCAACATCTGCCTGACGCTGGGTTTCCGGAGTAATTAATTCGGATTTCGCCGGATTGGACTCGGAGGACTCAGCTGGAGATTCCTCCGACAAGACCTACGAACTGCTCACCAAGACCTTGGCAGCCGTCAAGGAGAGCAATAAGACGACCAAGACCTCCGTGGAATCGCTTTTGGAGGTAGTGGTAGCGGGTATCCAGGGACAAGCATTGGACAAGGCGCCCCCAAATACAGTGGAAAAGAAGTGGCCCACAAGGCTCTCCTACCTGAAGAGAGTTGCTGGTACTACGACCTCAGCTCAGCTCCCCACCCTCTGGCACGAGCTAGCAAAGTGTAAGAAGCACGAATCAATTGGAATTGTGCAGTCCCTGCTGGACGATGAGGCCGAGAAACTAAACCTCAATCTGGAATTCATCGTTTCAGCCCAAGTAATCAAGAGCTGGTGGACTTGGAATTTTGTTCGCGCGGCAACGTTGAAAAGGGTTTGAACATGTTCAATAGTGTCTGCTTCCAGCACTACAAAAATGCAAAAGTGATCAACGATTACAACAAGAGCGATTATTGGTTGACGGGCGAAAAGACAACCGCTTCAATGAAGGATCATCAAGCCCACGACAAGATCAAGCATGCTGCAGTTCTGTGAGATGGTCAATGGCATGCAGGTATTCTACCGTGTAGTGTTTGGGAAAACTCATCCACTGACAGCCGTGTACAAAAAGTTTGCAAAGAATGTGGATTCGATCGCATGAAAGATGGGAGTGTCCCAGCAGGATCGAGCACTCAAGAGATTTCTCTTTGGAATCTATTCCCAAATTGATTGTTACTTTGAGCGTTTGGTAAGATCCGGCACAAACGCAGAAGAAAACCTACCCGACTTGGGGACCTACATGGAGACCTGCTACCATGGAGGAAGCCTACCGGAGTCAAACTTGTTTGTTGTCGCAAAGGTCGGACATGGTGGAACAGGAGACAAGTTTGAGAGTCTGCTGAAGAGAGAGAAAGAAAGGGCCCAGAAGAAGAGCCTGGGCAAATCAGTAAAAAATCCTGACATGAACGAAGAACATCGCTACACCGGAAGAACTACTACTGAGTTAATCAAACGGACAGGCGAACAGCCTCCAAAGCATGCCAACGGAAAGGAACTGTGCCTCATTTGGCACACAAAGGGCGAATGCAAGGAGAACTGTGAACGTAAGCATTCCCATTGTAAGCTGACTGACGAGGAAGCAACCGCAATGAAGGATTATGTAAATAAGAATAAGTGAGATGGAGGCCGGGAATCATCGGATTCTTGCAGGCCATCTCAATTGGACCCACTTTCGTTACAATCTACTTTAATTGGAGGTAGTGCTAATACTATAGGTGAGCTGGTTGCGTTGGCAAATGAAACTTATTTAAAACACGGTTGGCAAGTCACTGCTTGTTTATTCCGTTCAGATGATGCTGCACCAGACATTGATAAGCTTCCGCACCCTGCCGCACCAATGCTACACCGAGTAATGAAAAATGGGGCTCCTGTGGTGGTTCATTCGGAGCCATGGAGCCAGAGCCAACTTGACATGCGAGTCGCTCGGGGCTGTCACTCATCAGCAAACGAATTCAAAGAGTTTCTGATGGAGGAGTTTTTGGATTTTGGAAGGAAGGGATTTTGGATCCTACTTCCATACGACGCCATCAAGGACGAGAAGGGACTTTGCCTTTCTCCAATTGGTTGCGTACCACAAGATAACAGAAGACCGCAGATGATTGTTGATTATTTGTCCTGGGACTCAACGACAAGACAATGAAACTTGCCCCAGAGGGAGCTATGCAATTCGGCATGGCCCCACTACGCATCTGCGAGGCACTCATGAAGGCAAACCCGGACTATGGGCCAGTTTACATGTACAAGAACGGCATGTCGGATGGTTTCTATTGCATCCAACTGTCAACTACCGGCGCACTCAAGCTTGGGGTCATCTTACCGCGTTTTGAAGGACTTCCACAATTGGTTGCACTGCCACTTGTGCTTCCAATGGGTTGGACAGAGAGTCCACCATGGTTCTGCGCTTTCACGGAAACCGTTGCCGATCTGACAAATGTTGACTTGCAACAAAACAAGCGAGTGCCACCGCATCCTTTGGGAAGGGCAGCAGCCATCACTGACTTTGAAGTGAGGGACACACAAGTCGTGAGACCTATACCAAAATCTCACCAGCCACTGACTTACCAGCGCCCATTGAAAAAGATGGAAGTCTTTGTGGACGATTTTGTTGGAATGGGCCAAGACCATCCAAGCAATCCTTTGACAAATCAACGAGCCGTCCTCAGCCACAACATTGACAAGGTCTTCCGACCAAATCGACCCACGGACAACCAGTGGCGAAAAGAGCCACAGTCACAATCGAAAATGGCTAAGGGAGATGCCTCTTGGCACACAGTCAAAGAAGCCTTGGGTTGGAACTGGGGAGCGACAACAAAGACATTGCAATTGAAAGAGAAACAAGTGAGCAAGGCCCTGTCACTCCTGGGTGAGGTCTTGGATTGCAAACGCGTCTCCCTGAAACAATGGCAGCAGGTGTTAGGAGTCTTACAAAGCCTGCAGCCAGGAATGTCGGGCAGTGAGGGGCATTTCTCCCTGCTGCAGGATGCAATGATTTGACAGGTGGATTATAGGGTGCGGTTGACTCCTGAGGTCCGTGAGCAACTGGAAATCTTCCAAGATTTTCTTCATGGCCATGCAAAGCGCCCCACAACACTGGAAGAGCTGGTACCAGGCGTCGACTTACACGTGGGCTCTTGTGATGCAGCAAAGTTGGGAAGGGGAGGAGTATGGTTCACAGACGGTGCAGAGGCCATTGTCTGGCGCGAACCATATCAAGAAGCAGTGAAAAAAGAGGTCATTTCAGATCACAATCTGACAGGAAAACTTACCAACTCAGACTTGGAGCTGGAAGGCACCGTTCTCCATCATTTTGTCCTTGGAAAGACAGCCCAGGTGGAAGGCAGAACCACTTACACTGGCTGTGACAACACACCAGCAGTGTCGTGGCGCACAAAAGGATCTTCCACCTCTTGAAAGGCAAGAGCAAGAATATTACGGTTAGCGGCAGGATCACAGCAGGAACAAAGAGCACATCATCGCATTGGGCACTTATCTGGAACAAACAATCGAATGGCCGACAATGCTAGCCGGCTATGGCACCTGTCTGACACGGAATTTGTCTCATATTTTAATCGCACGTATCCACAGATCAACTCTTGGCAACTGTACAGGATGCCGAACGCCGTGAACTCCTTGATGACATCCGTGCTGTTGAACTCGGAATCGAACGCGGAGTCTGTCCTTCAAGAGTTGCAAAGGCACACTCTGTCTGGACCACATGGGTTGCCTTCTGCGACAGCCTCACCCTTGACCCAGGATTGTCAGCGGTCGACGATCCCTTGCTCATCATCCTCCTTTTTGGAACCCAATGGCGACATGGAAAAATTGCCCCCAGTAAGAGACAGGTCCGGGGTCGAACGGCTGAAGATGCCATGCGCCAGGTGGGCCAGGCCTTTTCCTCATTGGGACTGCTTGATCCGAGGATGAACCGATATGCACCGGGCACAATGGACTTTTGTTGGACACGGCTGCTAAAAAGTTGGAAAAAAGAGGATCCAGCAGCACAACGAGTACGCCCATTGCCAAAGTCTTTGTTAAGGCAAGCATCAAAGCTCGCCTCAAAACCCACTAGTACACATGCCGCAAAGGCAATGAACCGATTGATGTGGCTGGGATTTTTCTTTTTGTTACGTCCTGGCAAATTTCTGTCAAAGGCGGGAACACAATTTCCATTCAAGGTGAAGCAAGTGTTCTTTCGTATCAACGACGCAGAATTTCATGGTGACGTCATCCCCCTTTGCCTCCTGGACACGTCACTTGTGACATTCGCCGGTCTGATATTTGACAAACAAAAAAATGCGGTGCCAGACAAAAAGATCGGTTTGGGCATGTCATTTAATGGTGACAACCCCACAGCTACGCTGATTGCCATTGTCCGGCACCTTCGACAGAGTCAACAAACGACTGGCGACACCCCTTTGTTCACCTACTACTCCGAGTTCGGAGTCCCTTGCAATGTCACAGATCAAATGATGACAAAATATCTGAGAGCAGTTGCTCTCTCCGTGGAGGTTGATTGACCTCCCACAATCGGTGCTCTTCGATGCACCGGTGTTAGAATAAAGCAAAATGTGCTCTATCGTGAGTGCCTTTAGCGCTCAGAACAAACTCTCTGCAATCTTTCACGACAATAGTGCTCCTGTGTCTAGGTATACTTTGAGTGAAATTGTTCCTATTTGATTAATGTTTGGCTTGAATTGATGATTCAATCACAAAAGTAAGTTCAACGATTTTCCTTTGGAAAATCCCTTGTTTACAGAACT